GTCTATGGACGACGACTTCGGGTGAGGGTGGCCCCCGCCCCGCCCCCGGGAGCCCCGGCCCGGCTCCTAGCACCTCCCTCGCTGCGCTGGCGTCTCCCCTCCTCGCAGGGCCGCGCGGCCCTGGCGCCCCCTTCCCAGCGCTTCCTCAGGAGCAGGGGTTCCAGCCCCTCTAGGGACTCTGCGTTCACCTCTCACCGCCCCCCCGGTTTAGGAGGACTGGGGCTCCCCCCAGGCCATCAGAGTTTCTGCCGGGCGAGCCCCCTCCTCCTCCTTCCCGGGCACACTGGCCCACATAGACGGACACACCCCCTCCACCCTGTCCCAAAGCCACAGTCCCAACCCGCCTCCTTCCAAGGAGCCACCTTTTCTCAGCCTAGACTTGGGGTGTTTGGCACGGGGCTGCTCCACAACTCAGCCATATTTGGAGTATCCTGCATTTGAGGACTGTGCTGTGGGACTTTGAACAGAGGAAGGGGAAGTCGGGGTGCCCCAGGCCAGGCTGGGAGCTAGGACCTGCAGACCTGGTGTTTGTTTAGCTGTCGCCCCTTTACCCTGTGGGCTGATTGCGGTGTTGTCAAGGAAGTAGAGCGTCTGACTCTGAAAGTCCCCACTAACGCAGGTGCTGATTTCGCCTCCGAATTGGAACCTTTTCCCTCCGGATGGTGGCCCAGGGGGAGACGTAGGAAAGAACCATCCAGCCTGGGTGGGAGGGCTAGGAACAGTCTCTTGATGTTGTCCATTTTCCCCATCCCTAGTGGGATCTTCCCTTCCACCCAGCTATAGGGATTGGGACAGGCAGTTTGGAAGCAGCCACTGGCCCTTTAAGAGGGGTTGGAATGCTGGAACCAGAAGGTTCTGTAGCAGCTGGCCTGGGAGGGGGAGCCTGGCTGATCCCCTCACACACACCCCCAACTCCCAGGGGACTGGGGGAGGGGGAGACCCCACACTGCCTGCCCCACACTAACTGGGCGCTGGGCCTGGAGGCCGAGGTGGGGAAAGGCCTTTCTGGGTCCTCCAGGCCTGCAGGCGGCCAGTCGCTCCAGCCCTAGCCTGAGGCCTGCACTGTTTTTTGCAGCTGAGGCCCCAGAGACCGGAGGGGAGGGGAGGGAAGACCTCTCTTCCCAGTGTTCATCAGTCTGGCTTTTTTCCCAAGACCCCAGTCCTCCTGGCCTCAGGAGACAAGCACCTTCTGTCTTCTGCCTAGTGTGTTTGCTGTCACCTGTCCTGGAACTCAGCATCCAGGAGCCCATGAAATCGTGTTTGTGTGTGTGTGTGTGTGTGTGTGTGTGTGTGTGTGTGTGTAAGTGCTTTGTACACCAGGGAGTACTACCTTATGTGGGTCCCCAGTACTCTTGAATCTGTTGTTGTTCCTAGCTTGGAGTGCGGACTCCTAGAGTGGTGATGATTGTCTGGTGTCAGTGCCTGATTGGAAGATTCTCAGGAGCATCCATCTGGAAGGGGGGTGGGGTGGGTGCTTCCGCCTGGCAAGAGAAAATGGGATGGGAAGGGACCAAGAGACTGTCTCGGGAAATGGGCCAGGGGAAAATCAGCTGCCTTGAGGGATGAGAATATGCCTGTGTCTGTGTCTGTGTCTGTGTCCAGTCCCCCACCTTGCTCCTGCCTCCTAAGCAGACCTCCCAGGGCCCCTCCCACTCTCCAAGGTGGCTATTGAGTTAAGCCTAACCACAGTTGTAAGAAAGCCCCCATTACATCCACTTACTGTGTAATATGTTTTTAACTCTGCTGTCAGTCTACTCATTTTTTTTTTTTTTTTTTTTTTTTTTAGTTTACCTCAACTAATATAAAATCAACCTCAGGTCTGATTTTCTATTTTTTTTCTTTCTAAAATATGTTGTAATCCCAGGCACTGTGGTACACATCCATAATCTCAGCTACTCTGGAGGCTGAGGCAGGAGCATCTAAATTTGAGGCCAACTAGGGCATCTTGGTGAGACCCTGACTCAAAAAATAAAAGAGTCTGGGGATGTGTAGCTCAGTGGTAGAATACTTGCTTATAAGCCCAAGACCCTGGGTTTGATCCCTACTATAAATAAATAAAAATGTTACAAATAAATACCAAACTAAGCATGTATCATGCATGTGCCACCTGGAGCCACTGTGCACACATCATCGGTACTTGAAGTACTCTTTGCAAAATAATCAGAGTTGGCAGGGTTAAGAACAATGCTGAAAATGGAGTGGTAGGGATTGATTGATTGATTGATATTTCCCCCAGAAGGAAAAATGAGAGCAGGTGACCTGGTGGTAGGGCTGTGTTGTCCCAGAGCGGTAGTAGCCAAGGAGCGTGCACACATTTATTTGGTGAATTAAGCATTTCACTGAAACGCATCGGTGCTTACTGTGAGCCAGACACTGATCCAGTGCTCCGCAAATCTTTTCTCACTGAATCATCATGACAGCTCTGTGAAATAGGTGGTAATGGCCCCACTTTACAAGTGAGGGGGCAGAAGGCCTAAGTTACTTGCCCAAAACTTCCCTAGTAAGTGACAGAACTTGGTTCCACTTTCGGAGTCTGGCTCCAAAGTGGAAAGCCCTAATCACACAGTTGGAGGCTAGATTGTTATCAGCCTTGTACAGACACACTCTCCAAGGAGATGGTAACCCTTGGCAGACTGGGGAGATGACGGCGATGACACTTATCCCAGCCCGGACAGCAGGGAAGGAGCACCAGAGGAGGAGATGGCTACGGTCCCTCTGAGCTTCAGGGGGTGAGGCCTGAGGATGCCCCAGTCCCACATGGTTCCCTTGTTCTCAAGTGAGGAGAAACATTTTCAGCATTGGGAGATGGTGGAACTAAGTTGGAAGAACTAAATAGCCACTGCTGTTCTACCCTTGGGCTAAAGGAGGGGACAGTTTGACAAGTTAGGTCGCTGTTGTTGCGTCTCCGTGTCACGCACTGTCCTACCTCTGGGCCTCCTATGTCTTCCCTGTCTCCTCCAGCTCGAACTTTTGCAGGAGTCATCATGGTGCTTTATCCTTCTATCCTTACATCCCTACCCAGTTCTAACCAGACCCTGACCCCTAAGTGACACTGAGCAGATGTTGCTCCACGGCTGTTGCTCTTCTGGCTCCAACCTCTCCCTGCCTGCGGTGCACTTTCATGTTCTCTCCAAATACAAGGTGGGCTCTAGGCCTGACACTTCATGAGTCGGTGCCATGGCAAGCTCGGACCCAAACCCGCTGCACTCTTGCAAAAGCTTTTTAATTGGACAAATGATGAGTGATGAGCAGATCTGTTTGGTCCGGGTCTTAGAAACTAAGACCTAGTTATAAAACGAGCATGGGTCTCAGCAAAAGTTGGTAAAAGTATGCCTAGACTATGGCACCCGTTTCAGAATTCATTTACCAGATGCGACGAAGGCTTGGAAAGTTAAGAGGCTCCTCTGAGATGGGAAGGGTGTGGCTGTGGAACCCTGAGCGGTTCAGCCTTACCGTGGAAAGGTACTGCCTGTCTGAGGTCTCCAGGGCTGCTGAAGATCAGCTGATGGTCCTGAGTTAGCAGAGTCTTGGTGACCTGTTGGTGACCCCCAGAAAGAGAGGAAACATCTGCAGGGTGGAGCAGTGTGGGGGCCCTGCTGGGGGTCGTGAGGGGACTTAGCAGCGGTTTCCCACCACAGAGACACACTCCACAGCAGAGCACGTCATCTGCTGTGCGGCCTGTGCATCCCTTTGCCTCTGAACCCTGGCTGCCCTGCAGGGCTGCGAGCCCGGGGTACCCTGTGGCCAGACGGGCTGGTGAGTCTGAGCTACTTCTCTTGTCTCTTTCCAGCACATTCTGTCTCTAGGCTTTCTGCCATTGTGAGCCTAAGGAAGATGATTTGGGCTGTTTTCTCAGCGTCACTGTGGGGTTGGAAAGAGTGGGAGCCAGAGCTGGACAGGAGGAAGGAGGGCAGGCTTGGCCTGTAAATTTGGCTGTGAGTTGAAGATTGTGAGCATCACAAAGAGCCAAGCACGGTCCTAACTCTGGGCAGGAGCTGCTGTCAGAACAAGAGTGCTTGGACTTCACAGCCTCCTCCCTTGCTGTTTTCCCTCCAACCAGAACTCTAGACCGGTGTTGTTCTCTTTCTCACTCTTGGTCACATCTCTGCAGCTCTGTGTTCCTGGGCTGTTTGACAGTCTGACAGTCCTCAGACTTTTCCGTTCCCTTCCCTGGCCCCAGACCATAGTCGGTGTCAGACTTCTTGCCTTACTACATTCCCTAGACCGAACTACAAGCCATGCCTGCATTCCGCACCCCTCATGCCCCGCACCCCTGCCCCTGCCAGCACCCAGCCTGACCCGCATTATCTCTGTCAGCAGACAGGAAAGAATGTGACGTACATGGAAAGAGTATGAGGTTTGCAGTCAGACAAGCCTGGAGTTGAATCTCGCTCTGCCATCTGCTAGCTTTGTGACCCTGGACAAGTTACTGAATGCTTGTCAGTTTCCTCGTTCCTGAAATGCAGTTCCTTCTGTCCACCTCATGAGGCTAATGTGAAGAATGTATGTTCTAACCATGGGGGTGGAAGATGGTGTAATAGGTAAGAATACACACTTGAGTGTCAGGCTGACCAGGATTCAAATGCTGGCTTTTCACTCACTAGTGGTAAGAGCTTAGGAGAATTACCGAACACATTGAGCCTATTTCCCCATCTGCCATACCTTATAGCACTGTTGTGACTAAAGTGAAATGATACAAGTAAAGTGAGTAGCAATAGTGCTTCCCACGTTATGCTTACTCAAATGGGAGCGGCTGTCACTGCTAATTATCTTCACGGCACATGGAAGCTGTTCGGTAAATGCCTTCTCCCCTTCTCTTTCCTAATTTCCTCCAAGAGAAAAGCAATAATAACTGTGCTTTTTCCCAACTTGGGGTTTGGAGGGGAAGAGAGTCCAGCGCAGGAAAGCCATGTTGGGACTGGGGAAGGCACTCTGGAGGCTCTGGGGGCTGCATGGAGGCAGCCATCTGTCCCTTGTAATTTGCGATCACCTGACGATGGAAGGGTGCCCAGGAAGGCAGCTGGTTCGCGTTCAGGGCTGTCCCTGGGTCACCTCCTCCTCTGCTAACGTTCAAACACGGGTCACTTGGTCCCCAGTTTAGGTGGAGGACAGTGTGGGCTGTGAGGCCCCTCCAGCTCCACAATAGAAAGTTCCCTGACACCCGCTTTCCCTGCAGAGTGGTGAAAGAGGAGATCTCCGATGACAACGCCAAGCTTCCCTGCTTCAACGGCCGCGTGGTGTCCTGGGTGAGGAGCCCTCTGCCCCCCTCGCCTGCGTCCCACTGCTGGTGTTAGAGGGCACTGCCGACACTGGGGTTTTAGGTTTTCTGACAGAACTATTTCTTACCCCAGTTTTCTTAATCCTTAATGAAAAAATAGGCGGGTGGTGGGAAGGGAGAAGGAAACACACACAGTAGAGATAAACTATCTGCTGCTCTTCAAGACACCTGCTGTCACGCGGGGACCTTCGTCTGGGACCACTGACCCTTGTTGCCTGCCCCCACCTGCCTTACCAACCCGTGCCTCCAGCCCCCCGCACCTGGGCATGGGGCTGCTCCTCACTTCCGCCCCCGCCAAAAGCCCACTCCTCCTTTCTACCCAGTGCCCCGTGACACAGTTCCCACTCCTTTCCTCTTCGTCAGCTGGTGTCAGCTGAAGGCTCACATCCAGAGCCTGCCCCCTTCTGTGCTGACAACCCCTCAGAATTGCCACCACCTATGGAGCGCACGGGAGGCATTGGGGACTCGCGACCCCCGTCCTTCCAGTGAGTGTGACCAAGGGTGGGGGGGCCGTGGGGGAGGGCATCGTCCACTAAGCCCAGGGCTGGGGCAGGGAGCCCCCAGCCTGCCCTCTCCCCTGCCAAGTCCTCTCGTCCCTGCAGCCCTCATGCTGGTGGGGGCAGCCAGGAGAACCTGGACAATGACACAGAGACGGACTCCTTGGTGTCTGCCCAGCGGGAGCGGCCACGCCGGAGGGATGGCCCGGAGCATGGTGTGTCTTCCTTCACCACCCCGTTCCTGCGCTCTAAATGTGCCTGGCCCGCTCTCTTCCTTTGTCCTCACGTTGGGCACTGTGTGACCCAAGCTGCCTCTGTCCACTGCAGCAACCCGATTAAATGGAACCGCCAAGGGGGAGCGGCGGCGAGAGCCTGGCGGGTACGACACCTCGTCCACCCTCATGAGCAGCGAGCTGGAGACCACCAGCTTTTTTGACTCAGAAGACGACGATTCCACCAGCAGGTTGGGCTTTAGTCTCCTGGGTCGGGAGGGACAGCGGGCCCCTGAGAAGTCCTGAATCCGACAGGATGCTGGCCCTGGGAGGGACTTCGGGTTGGGGTTGGGGCCCTGCAGTGCCTCTCACGCAGGGCTGGGCAGCCTGGTGGGGAATGACTCTGGGCCCCACAGGTTCAGCAGCTCCACGGAGCAGAGCAGCGCCTCCCGCCTGATGAGAAGACACAAGCGGCGGCGGCGGAAGCAGAAGGTCTCGCGGATCGAGCGGGTATGGGGCCTGGGTTGCCCGGATGGGGAGCCCTTCCCAGGTGGGGCCACGGCCCGCTTTTCCTGCAGGCCCTTCCCTTGGGCTCAGGTGAGGGCGGGGCCGGGTCGGAGCCCATGGCAGCAGTGAGTTCCTGCCACTCCTGCCTGCTGCTCAGGGCTGCGTCTCTTCCAGTCCTCGTCCTTCAGCAGCATCACGGACTCCACTATGTCTCTCAACATCATCACCGTCACTCTCAACATGGGTGAGCACGCACCTGCCGGAAGCAGGCACTGGGCGAGGAGGGGGGACCTGCCGCCTGGGAAGTGCTGTGTTCCTTGCCCTCGAGGGGTCTCCCATAAACAGCAGCTGACAGACTGCTGACTTCAGTGTCTCGTGGCCAGGGCTGTGACAGCAAGCACAGAATGCCGTGGAAGCAGGAGACGCACCAGGGAAGGCTTCCTGAGAAGGCGTTTCTGAGCACCCTTCCCCTTGCCTTCTGTAGCTGTCACATCCTTGCTCTGATTTCTGCCCTAGGGCAGTGATGGCGACCCTTCTAGAGACAATTTCCCACACTCCAACCCCAAACCCACTTATTTATAGCAGAGTGCCAACACTGCAGTTAAACCTGACACACCGAGGGTTTAGTTCAGAAAAACAACTCCTACATTAACATTTTTTGTCTTGAAAAAAAAGAATAACACGCACGCCGTCGGTTTGCCACCACTGCCCTCGGGACTCTTTTTAGGAGACAGCTGGATGTGATAGGAAGAACCCAACTTGGAAAATTAAATCTGATTTTGAATCCTGGCTCTCCTCCTACTGGCCCAGCAAGTCACCTACATGTGTTAACTTCATTGTCTGTTTTCTAAAATGGGATTCAGTGTCTCTGTCGCAGCCAGCAGGGAGGGTTACATGAAAGCATGTTCGAGCAGAATGCACACGGTGCCTGGCTCGGGTTCAGTAAATGTTGGCCCTCTCTGCCCTTTTCTAATAAGGGGATGGGAATCTGGGCAGGGACCTGGCCCTCTGAAGGTGTTCAATTACTTCTTGTAGAAAAGTATAATTTCCTGGGCATCTCCATTGTGGGCCAAAGCAACGAGCGCGGTGACGGTGGGATCTACATCGGCTCTATCATGAAGGGTGGGGCCGTGGCTGCCGATGGCCGCATCGAGCCAGGGGACATGCTCTTACAGGTAGCCACGCCTGCCCAGGTGCTGCGGGTGGGCGTGGGGGTCCCTGCCCTCTGGAGGAGGCTTCCTGACCCCAGCCCAGCTCCCTTGCCCCTTTTCCCGGCTCAGCCTGTTTCCCACACCTGCTCCTCTTCCTCAGGTAAACGAGATCAACTTTGAGAACATGAGTAATGATGACGCTGTCCGGGTACTGCGGGAGATTGTGCACAAGCCGGGGTATGGATGGAACAGGACCTGGGGGAGGCTGGGGTAGCATTTCTGGCTGTCAGGCAAGGGGCTGGGGTGGGCCTACCTTCATCCTTCCCTCACTAGGACAACCTCATTTTCAGGCCCATCACCCTGACCGTAGCCAAGTGCTGGGACCCAAGTCCACGTGGTTGCTTCACGCTACCTAGGAGTAAGTGGATGGGGCATTCATTCCTGGAGTTGGTGCTCTGCATACGTGAGCCCTGTCCCTCCTTTCTTCCATGTCACCTTGAGCCGTCACATGTACCTTTTGGTGACTCAGTATCCTTCCTGCAGGCGAGCCCATCCGGCCCATCGACCCTGCGGCCTGGGTCTCCCATACTGCAGCCATGACGGGCACCTTTCCCGCCTATGGCATGAGCCCTTCCCTGAGCACCATCACCTCCACCAGCTCCTCTATCACCAGCTCCATTCCCGACACAGAGCGTGAGTGTCCAGCTGGGGGGCTTGAGCCCGAAGCGGGGCAGAGAAGGGACTGCTTATTTCAGCTGCCTCATACCGAAGCTCCCCCAGCTGCACTCGGTCCTCACTGAGCATCGTCTGCTGCTGACCTGCTCTTGAGCACCCAGGGAGCCTCTGTCCGTGTCCTCTTGTGAAATGGGACTATCGATATGTACTTTACCAGGTCCCAGTGGGTTTAATAAGAGTACCAGTGACAGATACCAGTGTGTGGCATAAAGTGACCATTCAGTAAATGGCTGCTGTTTTTAGCTTCATAACCTGTACACATACACTGTGCTGAGCACTTCCATTTACATCGCTAAGTCTTTCTTCAGATACCCTTGTAAAGTAAATGCTACAATGCCCATTTTTACAGCGAGGAAAACTTAAGTGTCCAAGAAGTCTGTGATTTACCCAACATTGGGCCCATCATTACTGGGTGTAGAGCTGGAATGTAAACTCTTGTCTACTTAACCCTAAAGCCCTTTCCTGCCTTACCATTCTGCCTCCCACCCCCAGGCCTAGATGACTTCCACCTATCCATCCACAGTGACATGGCCGCCATCGTAAAAGCCATGGCCTCCCCTGAATCAGGGTTGGAGGTCCGGGACCGCATGTGGCTCAAGATTACCATTCCCAATGCTTTCATTGGTGAGAGACCCCCATGGTGGGATGAAGGACAGGGTGGGGAGTGGGGACAGGGCACGCTGGGTAAGAGGGACCCAAGAACCCCCTTGGCCCATTCCTCTAAGCTTTTGTGAGGCCAGAGGAGCCCAGATCAGCTGGGCCAACCAGTCACCTGGCAGCCTTCTCCCCAGGCTCAGATGTGGTGGACTGGCTGTACCACAATGTGGAAGGCTTCACTGACCGGCGGGAGGCCCGCAAGTATGCCAGCAACCTGCTAAAAGCTGGCTTCATCCGCCACACTGTCAACAAGATCACCTTCTCTGAGCAGTGCTACTACATCTTCGGAGACCTCTGTGGCAGTACGTGCCTCCCCCATCTTCTCGCCTGGTCTGCTGGTGGGGGGGCGGGTAGTGGGGTGGTACCCAGGGACAGGGCAACAGGTCTAGGGAACCTGGATGAGGCACAGCAGACCTGGAGGCCCGGCTTAGCCTTGAGAGTTCCCTGGCAGAGACAGAGTTCAACCTACACTCTGCATGTGCCCCACTTCTCCCTTTCAAACCTGGCATTTTCTAAGTGCGCCCTCTGTGCCTGGCATGGTACTGATAGTCCAAAAGTGTCATCTTACTTGATCCTCACAATCTGGGGGGCGGGATAGGGAGCTCACTGTCTGTTCTGAGCTGAGCACACGGATGAATCGGTGTGAGATAGTCTACTCCAAGTGTCACACTAGAAGCAGAGGCATTGTGCCTTGGATCCAGGTCTTGCTCTTTTCAGTGCCTGGGGCTGCCCCTGGTATGTGGTGCACAGCTAAACAGAGTACTTGCCTTTGGTCCCTGAACCAAGCGGCTCCCTCCAGGGCAGAACCTGGGGCTGGCCAGATACTCCAGATCCTCCTCAGACCCCTGAGGCTGGAAAAGTTGCCAGGGCTGGGGTCACAGAAAACCCTGCAAACTGTACCAAGGAGTCTGAAAGTACCAGTGAGGGTTGCTAGCAAGAGAGGTGTGCAGTGAACTCCCTTCTCAGCCTGGGCACAAGCTTTGGGATGGGAAGTCCTCAGAACAGGACAGCTAGTCTCTGCTCAGGCCCACGCCCAGCAGTCAGGTGTTTCTAAAGGACTTGTAAAGTGCTTCAGATTGGGTTCCAGGGACTAGAATGGCTGATCCTGCAGAACATTCCCAGGTGTAGGGTAGGTCCTGGCCCTCAGCAGTTTCAGCATGGCCCTGTGGGGGTAGTGATGCATACACGGACTTGGGAGATGACAGTTCTAAGTTTAAATCCTAGCTCCCTTACTGTGTGAATATGAGTGAGTGTGTAGCCTCTTAGTGCTCAACTTCTTGGTCTGTAAAATGGAGAAAAGAGGGCCAGGGATTTAGCTCAGTTCGATCTCCAGTACCAGAAAAAAATAATGGAGACAAAAGTTGAACCTATCTCACAGGGCTGTTTTGAGGATAATTTTTGTAATGCTTTTGTGTGTGTGGGGGGGGGTACTGGGGATCAAGGTCAGGGCCTTGCATTTGCAAGGCAGGCGGGTGCCACTGAGCTAAATCCCCAGCCCAAATATAATGCTCTTAATACAGTATATGAACCACAGTAAGTAACTGCTCTATAAAAACTACCTGTTCATATATTTAATGAGATACACACTTTTTCACATTTAAGTATTTGTGAAACGGGTATGTGTTACAATCAATAGCTTAGACTCAGTGAAACGTGTGTCACTGTCATCATTTTTTTTTTTGTACCAGGTATCATTGTCATCATTAGCAGAAGTCAGCCCTGGCCCCAGACCCCTAAGGACACCTAAAGCTTCCAAGGCGGCTGTGGTCTCTGTTCAAGAGATACTGTTTGTTCCATGGGTCCGCCTGGGTCTCCCACCCGACCCCAGGCCACCCAAGACCCAGATCAGGGTGATACTGATGGAAGAGCCTCTTCCTTCTCACTGGCCAGGGTCCTCAGCTGGGAGTGTGGCAGGCTCAGAGGAAAGACAGATCACAGTCACTCCCAGAACGACAGCCTACAGGCTAAAGTCATCACCAGCAATTTGGGCACAAGCCAAGCAGGCCGCTGCTTCCCTCTTCTGGGGCAGCTCCAACTCCCTCAGAGCTCTTGGGCCTGGTACAGGCAGTGTGTGAGCAGAGTCTGTCCAGGCAGGTCGTGGGTCCTGGTGGCCCTGTAGAGTCCCTGCCAGTAGCCCCAGCATTGGCAGGGGCAGCCTTGCCCTTAAGGAGTGTAGAATTTCTGAGGACGGCCAGAGTCATGACATCAGTAGTGTTGATAGACTGAGTTGATGCCAGGCCTGGCTGAGAATGGGTGCAGGGCCCAGAGGAGGCTCCAGGTTGTTCTCTCTGATGCATCCCAGCCCATCCTCACCCTCCCTAGCAGCACCAGGGAAATGTGGTCAGGGCAAGGGCCTCCTATTAGGTGAGCTCTGAAAGGCCTGTGCGTGTCCTGGGTTCTGAATGGATATTTTTTCAGTTCCAGAGGAGTGGGAGTACAAAATCTCATCTAAATTCCTCTAAACTTCCCTGCTTCTAATGGCTGTACATGGAAAGGTCAGGCAAGAAAGCAGTGCTTAACTTCTGTTCTGCTTACAGTTTAGGTTGACCTCAGGCTGCGCATTTAACCCTTCTGGACTTGACTTTCCTCACCTGAGAAAGTGAGGGGATTGTGGTGTTTGGGAGACCCAGCGCTGTGTAGTGTCTTCCTGGGTCCAGGGTGCAAGCCCTGGAGGCTGCCTGGCGGTGCCGCTGTCCCCATTCCCTGACTGGCCCCCACTGAGTGAGCGCTAGAGGAGATGGCAGAGAAAGAGCTTTGCCCCTTCCCTCCCACTGAGGAGGAAGGAGAGCACCAAGCCTGGCCTGGGCCTGGGGTGTCTCCCAGGGTCTCCCTGCCTCTGTCTCTGGTGGTGTCCAAAGGGCTCTGCAAAAGGGGCGAGCTCTGGCCTGTGCTGTGCCAAAAACTACCACAGCTGCCTGCCACCGACCTAGGCCGAGGACCTCTCTCCTGGTCAAGGGCGGGCCGACTCACCCTGCGCTTCCCCACAGACATGGCCAACCTGTCCCTCCATGACCACGATGGCTCCAGTGGCGCTTCCGACCAGGACACGCTGGCCCCTCTGCCTCACCCGGGGGCCGCCCCTTGGCCTATGGCTTTCCCTTACCAATACCCGCCGCCCCCGCACCCCTACAACCCGCACCCCGGCTTCCCCGAGCTGGGCTACAGCTACGGCGGGGGCAGCGCCAGCAGTCAGCACAGCGAAGGTAAGGGGAGCCGGGCA